AATGTGTGTGTGTGGGGGGCACACTGAAATTTTTAATAAAGTAGATGCCATTTCCTGCATTCTGGTGTATTTTAACGGTTATTTAACATCTAGTTTTACCTACACAAGTAAACACTTGGGATTCCCCTGGAGGAGCTGGTCCAAGTGAGAGGGAAATCTGGACCTCTCCACTTAGGCTGCTACCCCCCCCTCCCCCCCCGGATGGATGGAAGTAAACACTTGATTCAGTAACTATTTAAGTTCAAGCTCCGTTCAAGCTCTCGACCTTTGACCTCTCTAAGTGTCTTTAAGAATCTGTTGGACTCCTGGCAGGGTCCAATGCTGACATGTTCCTGTTGTTAGTTTCTACATTTGTCTTGGAATCTAGCTGTTTTTTGTTTTGTTACCTTTTTCCTTTTAGCCATCCTATTTGTTAAAAAACAAACAAAAAAAAACGGTAGTATGAGTTTTTATAACTGTTTATTGTTGTTGCTGTTGTCCATTGTTGTCATCATTCTTTGTTGAAATCAGGTCTCTCTTGTAAATGAGTCCTCGAGGCTCAATGGGATTTACCTGTAGAAATAAAGGTTGATTGATTGATTTAGAGCTAATGGCACCACAAGAAGTAACCTGACCAACAGCTGATTCAATGAATTAAAAATATTATATATTCAAAGGTGATGATTTGATGCCCACATTAAAATTAAATATCTGTAACTGAGTTGACTTCAAATGTAACAAGATGATCAATGAATGTTTGAGACAAAGGATTTACTGAGTATAACAAAGATTCCTTCAAGAAACCTCCTAATTTAAATCATAAAACCAGTTTGACTTCTGCTCATTCTAAATTTATCAAATGGTCTAAATCTTCTAAAGTGAAGGAGAATCATTTTAAAATAATAAATAAGATATATCCTGTAGCCATGTTTCTGCAAAGAAGATTTAAATTTAATGTTGATTTGTGCCTTTTGTAAATCACAAGATGAATCCCTCGAGTATGTTTTTTTCATGTCAATACAAAATGTTTGGTCAAACATCAGAAACTGGATGAATCTCAAACTTAACATTTCTTCTTTTCATGCTGATGACATTTTACTTTATGTGGATAACTGAAGCTCAGCTTTCTCTGATGCCATACGTACCTATAGCAAAGTACCACATTCACTGTAGTAAGAGGAGGGATAATAATCCCTCCTTCCTGTTTAATAAACAGTTTGAAGTCATGCTATTCGTCATTAAGTAGATTAAAAATCAGCAAAACTGCTAAAATCATCTCACAACAGATACAAACTTATTGTTTTAATTAAAACAAGAAGTTTCTCAAGAAAAAAAACTGATGAGCTTGTCAGCAGGTAAGGGGCGTTTACCTTCGGGACAAATTGAGGTTGTCGATTGGTCAGTTACTGACACGCCTTCTGGGTTGATTGACAGGTCGCACCGTCGAGGATCCAATTGAAAAAAAACAAAAACGAGAGCTGCAGCAGCTGGGAGGAGGCGGGGCTGCACAAACGCAGCGCAGAGCTCCAAGTAAAGCAGGAGATAACCAGATATTTTGCTTGTGCCCTCACTGCCCTGGGCCCCTTAGAGATTATGGGCCCCTGGGCAGTTGCCCAGTTGCCCATATGGTCAACTGCCCATATGGTTAATCCGGCCTTGCCGGAACGCACTGTCAAAATAAGAGCGTTCCCAGATTCTGTTCCGGCAGGATCCGGCTAAAATTAAACCCTGTTGCACAGTGATAGCTGGATTTGGGCACTAGTGACCCCCGTGACCTGAAAAGGAAGAAGTAGGTAAAAGATAATTGATGGATAGATGGAAGGATGGAAATTTAAACAATGAACTATGCAGCTCTAGTGTCCTTTTTGGAACATGGCCTACTCCATGTCCCCCACTTTTATTGGGATGTGGTGGAAGTTTTCTCAGAGGTGTGAAGTGGAGATTCTTTTGCTAGGCATTCGCAGTAAATCCTCCCTGCACATTTGGTCTACTGGTTCTGACCACTGATCACCACCTGGTGGTTAGTGTGATCACACCAACCACCAGGTGGTGATCAGTGGTCAGCTCAGCTCCTCCCTTCTCCCAAATGTCCAAAAAATACAGCTGCAGGTAAGACGACACGACTACAAAGTCTGTCATTGATTTGCAACTTTTGGTGTCCTGGTGCCAAGTGCACTTATGGACACCATTATGTTTGAACATAACGTTTGTGATGGATAAACTATGACTAGCACAGAAGTCCAAAAGAGCACCACTCGGGTTCAGGTCAGAGGGGCCGTTCATCCCAATCACGCCCCTCCAGGTCACAGTGTCGTTACCCATGTGGACATGGAAGGGACATTGACCTTGAGGCCCAGGCCTCCCTTGCAAAAGAGATCTGTGATCTCCATGGGATTTTAAATAAAGGTTAATAAATTGAAGTCCCCAAGGAGAATACAGAGTACTCAGCTGGAGCACCTTCCAGCACCAAAGATAAGGACTTCAAGAAGGGCGGATATTCTTAACTGCTGTTTGTTAAGTATTCACAAACAACAGTCAGAGCCCGTCCCCCACACAGGTGCAGTGAACCTACCCTCTCAACGATCAGGGAAAACTAACACAGGCACCAAGTCAGGGGTCTAAGAGTAGACCCACACCAGCTCGGGGCCTCACTATGGACAACTCCAGAGAGAAATGAAGATCAGCCCCTCTCAAGGAGATCGGTTCCAGAGCCCATGCTGTGCGTTGAGGTGAGCCCAACTAGACCTAGTGGGTACCACTCAACCTCAGGCACAAGCTCAGGCTCCTTCCTCACTAGAGACGTTCCATGTCCCAAGAGCAGCTTTGGTAAGTCTGGGTCAGAGCACCAAGACCCCCGCCTTCAGCCACTACCCATGGAGTCATGCACCTGATTGGTCTGGGGGCGGTGATTAATTAACATAACTCTTTTCCACACACAGTAAAAAATATCAAGCTACAAATATGTACCTAAATAATAATAATAGATGTAATAAATCTTTGGGGAATAAATTTGGGGAGTGGTGGCGCAGAGGTTAGAGAGGTGGGCCTGTGATCTGAAGATCGCCAGTTCACGCCCCGGCCCCGACAACATCAAAATTGTGGGTGGGGTAGGTGAAACACTCACACTTGCCCCCACCCTCATTCGCCCCACTCTGGGCCCATGAGCAAGGCCCTTAACCCCCACCATCTGCTCCATAAACAGGTCTCTCTTGAAAATGAGTTCTCGTGGCTCAATGAGACTAACCTGGATAAAGAAAGGCTAATTGAAAAAAAAAAATACAACAAATATTACACTCTAAGAGAAGCTGAAGTACCTTTATCTGTACATTATTGTACTTTGATCTTTTGGACGTGCACCTGCAGCTCATTGGACTTTAAGCTTCTGTGGGTTTTTAAATGACTTTAATTTAAATTAATCATCTAGTTCCATGTTTCTGTCAGAAATATCTGCCCTGGACTGTCATAGTACTAAACCATGTACTATCATACTCCTTAAAACACGGCATTTGGTCAGAGTTTAGATTATTATAAAGTTAGGATGAATTTTGGGCATTGGCATCTGTAGGGATGGCGCCATCTGATGGGCCGTACTCCTGCCAGCTGTTTGTAATCACGTCCCGTCTTTTCTGTGTATTTAAGTCCCTCTGTGAGTATTGTTCATTGTCACCTCATCGTTGGGTATTTCTTTGTCCTGTCCTGATCCCGTCCTGATTCCGCCTGTTGTAAGTTTATGCTGCCACGTCAGCCCTTTAATTTAATATTATTAAAAGTATTTATTTTTCTACCTGCTGAGTCTGAGTCCCTGCCTGCACCACTGGGTTCACTCTTGTCTGAAACCCTGACAGTATCCTTCAGATATTAAATAAATACTAACTAAAACTTCAACTCTTCAAGTGATTTAAAATAAAACTAAATACTTTACCTGAGTTTCCACTCTCAGTATTCTTGCTGCTTTTCACAGAAAATGATCTCTTCAGTTATTCTTTATGAAGCGTGTTTAAAAACGTCCTTTCTCCTGGACCACGTTGTTTTTTTGTGTTCACATAATCTGACCTGTGTCTTCTGTGGAGCGTCAAACTGTTGGTGTTAGCATGAACTCAAAAAAACAAAAAGGAAACCTTCATGAGCGTCGCTCTGATCTTCAGTCAGAATCCTAAGCGAGACATTTGTTTCTCTACAACGTGCACACAGACTCCCACAGCTGTTCAGTTTGCTCGTGTCGTTTATTTACAAATCATAAAAACTACAACCATCCTGGTCCTGACGCAGAACAAAACATCTGGGCTGCTGCTGCTGGTTCGTTTCACACGTTTAAAACAATAAAATGGTTTCCAGAGCACGACAACGCTGACCGCTGCCATGAAGCTTATTGCACAGCCTGACTTCATCCATAAATAGTGCAAATGGTGTTTTCTTCAAAACAGGAATGTTCCAGAGCCTCAGTCATTTAGAACAAAATAAACAAAAACAAAAAACTGTCAACAAAATAAACAGATGAAGGGAAATCAACCAAACTTTGTCCCAAAAAAATAAAATCATATTTAACAAGGAAGCAAAACAACAACAACAAGTGTAAACACAAATATGTGTACATATTGCCACAGACAACAAAATAATTCTTCTCACCTGAGAGAACCAGGTGAGTTTATTGTGTCAACAAACAAACAGTAAACAAAAACAAAACGTACAGGAACAGAAGAGGAGCTGCTCTTAGGACGTGTTAGCTCCACCAGTAAAGCCTGGTTCCTGTGGTTGCCACGGAGACGGTGAAGGCTCAGAACCGACGATACCGGTAGGTCCAATTGGA